CCTCAAGTAAAGCTGGATTTCTCCATCCCCCCTTTTACCACTTGGAGATGTGCCCTGGGGGCTAGAACCTCAATGTATTGGTTCGATTTAAAGTACTCTTTTCCTCAAAGACTACTATGGTCCGATTCGCTTAGCATATCAAATGGGAAATTTTCATGCATTCCAGACGATCTTTTCATCTTAATGATCATGTCATGGTTCAACTTTTCTGCTGAACATATGCTATTCCGTTTCTTCTGGATTATTTTGTTCAATTTACTCAGTAATTCCAATATATGATGTTCTTTTTCCATTAGTCGAGAAATGTTCAACAAATGGCAAGCTCAAAGGTGGTGGGCAGAAAATTGTGAAAAGGTTATGGAACTTTACAATGTGCAGAGATTAAACCGTCAAGCTTTTCCTCTACCAACAACTCCAAGATCTGAGGATGACACAAGTTCAAAGATTGAATCTGCTGAAGCTAGTCCCATAACACCACCGTTGGGTAAGGAACGGCTACCCAATACTTCATTACGACCAACTGGAACAGGAATGGGATACTCGTCTTCAGATTCACTCGATCACCATCCTATGCATTCTCGATATAACTATGACTCCTGTGGTGTGGCTTCAACTCCAAAACTCTCAAGCATCAGTGGTGCTAAAACGGAAACATCGTCAATGGATGCCTCTATGAGGACTACTAGCTCGTCTAGAGATGCAGATCGCTCTGGAGAGATATCCATAAGCAATGCGAGCGATTTAGAAACTGAATGGGTTGAACAGGATGAGCCTGGGGTTTATATTACCATCAGGGCACTTCCAGATGGCAAAAGAGAACTCCGACGTGTCAGATTCAGGTTAGTTAATTTCTTGCCTATTCTCAGTAATTAAAGCATACGTTGAATGATTATTTGTCTGGCTAGAATCTGAGATTATGTAGGGTAGGATATGTTTGATAACCAATATTGAACTTGACCGAATATACAATAAATAAGATTTTAATTTCTTTTTCTTCTTTAATATAGTTCATTACTATACAATTCACTCCACCAAACTTGGTATTTATGTATTTGCTTTTTAATTGAATTAGAAAGTTGATCTTCCCTTGATATCAAGATGCTAATGCATGTTAGCTGGAAAAAAATAATAATAATAA